TTTCCACCTACCTCGTCCAATGGAGATCTCATTAGAGCGCTGAAGCCAGGCCGCAGTAAAAGCAGACAGAGCAGAGTCATAAAAACCATGTTTCCCCTCTTCCTGTGCGTCTACCTGCTCTGCTATAGTGCTAGGACAATATGCGATCCTCCTACTCAGGCAGGACAGAGCCCAGCCAACGGGGTATGAGTAACATGTGTTTATGTAAAGAGTAGGGACAAAGTTGATGACTGACACACGTCATTTGCTGTTTTTTTTCAACTGTGGGAGCAAGGGGACAGCTCTCATTGGTTGGCTCTTTTTTCTTGTCTTTTTTTTTGTATGCTATGACTAATTTGTGTAATTTCTTGTCTTTCGTCACTGAGCAATAAAGACTTCTTTAATGACAGGAGAGAATCAGTGTTGGCAGTTGCATGCTTTATTTAGAAACCAAAATCCCCCCTTTTGGGATTGTACACATATTTTTATTTAGGCCTTTCACAGCTGCAATCACTGCTGAATTAATCCTAATTATCATAAATAATATTAAGTGTTATTTCTTGATGTGGCCATTAGAGGGCAGTCACAATCCTGGAAGAAACTGAGAGGGAACAGGAGCACACACACACATTCCTCCACAAGTGTGTAACAAAATAACATCCTCTATGTCCATGACAGATGTAAAACATTATCTAATGCTAAATTGCTCATTTGGAACATAGGAGATTCACACTGGAAATGCTACAACAACAACAACAATAACAACACCAGCAATGGTAAAGCTAGAACTGACAAGCTTATTCCTGTGGATCAGGGATATAATTATTTTCTTTTACTACTGAAACAGGGCCAGATGGAAGACTTTTCTCTCTAACTTCAACTACAAGTAGTGATTCCTTTTTACATGATTGATGGTAATTTTAAATATATCCCTATGCTGATTGTACAAATACAGTAAAACTAGGGCAACCATTTCTTCTTGCTATGATAATGACACAGATGTCCAGCTATAACAAGAATGTATTCCACCCTTCAGATAAACTCTAAAATCCAGAAACTAAACTGAAGACAGCGTTGATACCCCCCCATCCCTCCCCTCCATCCCCTTCATTCCTGAGGGGGTATAGTTTATCTCCATAAAGCAAGGATTCAAGCCCATCTGCCATTAGTCTGCCAGATATCTGCCCGTTGTCAGTCCGAATTAACAGCTGGGTGTCACAGGCATTACACCAGCATCGCTACTCCACTAAAACCTCAATGCCCTGCTGGATTTATTAAGCACAACAGACTGTGATAAGTGTTGTTGGATCCTCATGCCCATGTCTGTGCAGAAGAGGGTAGGGATTGTATATTTATGATGTCCTAAATTATATATATCTAGCCATATGGGATGCGCAAGTGGGCACAACAGATGATGCCTCGGGAAAATGTTGGTTGGTTGCAGTTGGTGAAGAAGGAGAAAGTTGTTCGAGGAACGAAGTTAAACACAGAAAACTTATAATCTCTGTTATTCTGCCAGATGGATACAGTCACTTTTTTGTTGCCCTGTTTCTTCTGATTTTATTGTCAAAATGTATAATTAATATACTCCAGAACCCTCCAAACGGTATGTTAGTTGTTACAACCTTTTGCATAGACATCTACCTAACGAGATTTTGTGTTGCGAAGGCCAACCTCTTAGCATTTAATTTTGAGATGCATTTATGTAGAGTGGCTTGTACATAAAAAGGTTTCTCGTTCATCTGCTTTTCATTCCGTCCATCTGTCACACTGTTGTAAAAGATTCATGTGTGCAAAAACTATAAATGTTCACCTGCCTGTTTATGGCAGCTCATCACCTAAAGTCTTTATGTTTGGATACGGAGGATAAGCATCAGTGCTAGAATTTTACTGTATTTCTTTGACAGGAAATGATTAAGGATGTTAATTTCTGAAGCTGGCAAGGGAACCTTGCTCACTAAGCTCATGCTTGACAGACTGAGCAATAAAATATTTGAATCTCTTGCCTTGACCATGACTTTTTTTTTCATCGTGCAACCTACCAATTGTTATAATAACCAGAGGGCCTTGGTTAAATCTAGCACACCTTTGATGTCTGACTCACTGAAATTGCGTTTCTGTTCAAAGTTTGGTGTGTGACTATTTATAAAACTGCCAGAGTGATGGATCAGACGTTGAATCAAAGTTACAGCCATACATAAAAATATCACCAACAAATGGCCTCATAACATCCGCCTTTCAAATATACGGATGTTTCTCTCAATCGTTATTTGCTTTGTTTATGAGCCACTCTGTCTTCACGTTGTACTGCAAGAAAATATGTTAAACGTGAGAATATTTTCTCCCGCTGATGTACGTTTTCCTGCTAATTGAGACTAATATGGTGTTGATGGTATATTGTCAGCTCTGAGATGATGACTTTCCAGCATGTAATGCAATACCAATTGTGCTAAAACTCAGTGCCACTACAAATTATAAAGATATTTTTCAGGCAGTGTTTTCTTTCCAGTAGTTCCCCAGCTGTTTTAGCATATGACAGCATATCATAGCGATTCAAGGATGCTGCAGGGGCATTTAATAATGCCCATGATGATGATGATTTAATGATCATTTGTGTGGTTTCTGATAAATGGACAAATATCTGCAAGTAATTACACAGAATTGTTTTCAGGGGAAGGGTTTTTGTAGTGTGAGTTTGAGGTGCTTGATACTCTGCATTACTCTGCAATGGAAATGCCACACTTTCTAATGTAAATGACTATCACATAATTGGCAAACAAGAATGGGAGATGCAATTATGACATATTTCTGCCTGGATGTCTCTAGAAACACTGTTTTGTGATAAATAAGAGTAGGATAATCCAAAATGGGTTTCCCCTGTGATTTCGATCAGCGATACAGTTGTAAACAAAATGGAATAGAAATTATGTCCTGAGGTAATGATTATTTAAAAAAAACATCAATCTTATATCAGAGAACAGCTTTAATTGATGCTCTTTCCATTCGAAACACTCCCATTCTTTTGTAGCACATTGTTTATTTGTTTGATGACACTGATATAATTAGAATTTATGGAATTAATGATCAGTGTTGGACTAAAGGGTTAGCTGTAGACTGTGCTCTGCAAAATAATTGAGTAATCTGAGTTTAGGTCAGTTTGCCCTCTGTTTTGACTACAATCCACATCGATAAAGACAAATTATGTTTCTAAAAAGAATCAAGCCTTTACTCAAGATCCATCTGCTCTCAAATCTGCAGCGTAAAAAGATGAAAAATCCATTGATTTATTCCATTTTACTATGGCCTTTCTCCTGTGCCTTGCCCCCTCTGTTCCTATGAGACTACTGTAGCTGCAGTTGACTGCAACAAGGGACTGCAGGGAAGGGCACTGAATACTAAGCTGGCCAAGTCAGACAGCCTACATTTAGATCCAACCCTCCCATGAATGGGCGGAAAGCTCCTATTGGGATATTAAATGATGGTGAAGCAGTTGTTAATGGACAAATCCTATAACTGAACATCTGTTGGCATGCTGCTGATGGGAGCTGAATTTTAATAAGCTGCACGTGGAAAGATCTGACTGCAAAGTTTGGACTCAGGCACGACTAACATGAGCAACAAGCACGAGCAACAAATTAGACTTGTCAGGAAAATGACTCGCGCTTGCATCTTTCATGCAGCCTAATAAGCAATCAATATATGTGAAGACTGCAGAACATTAATCTCTTGCTTCAGACCTATTTGAATTTCTGTCGTACTTCAGCAAACATGACAGTATATCTGAAATTATTTTTCCTCGTTCCCATATTGCACTGTTTCTCAGCTGGCCTTTTTGCTCTCCAAATCAGTGATTATAGTAGATTATACTATACTTAACCTGAATTTTGCTGGTATGCTCTCCCAATTTGCAATCCCACTCTCAAGCTTTTATTCTTATTTTCTAGTGTCAGACTAACAAGATACCTGGCATTTTATACATACTGGCTACAGAAATAAATATTACTGCAAAACTTGAAATATTTTCAAATAACTTAAAGTGGCAAAATATACACATGAAGATCAGTTTGAAAGAGTAATACTCAGCCTATGAAAACAGCTGTATGTCTTTCATGGTTCTGAGTTAAGCTCTTAAGAGAAAATGACTCTTGTGATGTAATTAGGCTTGAGACTTCAAATTTGTAACAGAAACTGTTGGGATGGAGTTTGAAAGACATGGGCATTTACTAGTCAAAATCAAACAAAAGACTATGGAGTTGCATTATGGGAATGGTAGTGTTTTTGGAGCTTGGCCCATACTAATCACTAAAAGTCAGGATATCTCAGTTTGTGCTTTGTGTGTATGTCTCTTGTTAGTCCTTATACCAAATTGCCCTTTAATACCTATTGCTAGGCAATTAATATAGACTAAATATTAGCCTACATCATGCATAAGTTTACAACACTGTATTATATATGAATTATAGATAAAACACCATGCAAAGTCATTAAGGAGATATACAGTCCTAAAAGGAAAGCAATTAAGAGTTTCAGAGTTTAACATTAGGACTATTAATACAGCCCTTGCTACATAGCCTAATAATAATATATTTGGAAAACATGCTAGGCTTTAAATTGATAAAATTAATTAACTATACTGTTGCAGTGATTGGTCAATAAAAAGGTAAAGTACCTCCTGTCTAACATAATTAAAAACAAAAAGTAGCACTTTATGAGCATCGAAACGTTATCCCTTTCTGCTTACTCACAGTTTTAACTTGCAGTAAAACTGGGCATACAAGCTAGCTAAAAGTGCCATTTCTGCCTGTGCTCTCTGTCCCGAAAATGTGGGTCAAAAAGTGAGCCTGGGTAGACTAACCCTTCACTTTATACGACATGACACGTGTAAATGCTCTTAAAGCATACAAAGAGTTAGTGTGTGACCAATGGTACCGCGACGTCAGTGTCTCTCGGGCACGGAGCAGAGCTGGTCGGGGCCAGGAGCGACGTCACTCCCTGACGGCGGCATCAGAACAGAGCAGACGGCCATCCACGCAGCAGCAAGTCGTTCGCTCCGGAACTCGGCGAAGGAAGACAACACCGGGCAGCGGTTCTCTGCTTTTGGGACTGACTCCCTGGACGGCGACTTTCCTGCTTCTGTAGCACAGGTAAACCCTGAAGTCGCTTTACATGGAAAAGCTTTATATGTTTCAAGATGCTTTTTCTGTGTTTTTTTTAGTCAACTAGCTACAAGAAACAGCGTGGGTACTAAACGTTGGGAGTACAATGACTAGCAAGCTTCCCGCACTATAGCTGTTGTACTGTAGCCATAAACTGTGTGTTGCTATGGTACTGCCTGGCAACATCCCACACTGCTGCCGCGAGCTGCTAAAAACATGTCTCACTCATGTCAACAAAAAAAAAGATTATATGGAAACAAAGCGCACTTTCATGAGTTAATTCAGCCCTTCATTTGGTATGACTGCGTGTGTGCATATTAGTTGTGTTGTTTGCCTTAGCCACCTGTTTTCATAAGACTCGAATAGAGTTAACGCTACAGTTAATTTGCTTTTCATTTAATTATGCTAATTTAAAGCGTGGAACTTAAATATACTCGTCGCTGCACTTCAATTACCACTACTCCTCCAGCTTCACACTGTGCATTGCCTGTTGGCTACATTCAGCAGCTTTTGCAGACAGTAGAAAGGTAGAAAGGTCGTTGTCTGTTTTGAGTGTTTTTCCAGTCAAGTGCTCATGCGTCTGTGGCTTTAGGTGACAGCATTTCCTTTGTCTTTCCCTTTGTAACTGCTCTCTCCGTCTGTTTATTTTCGTAGTGTCTAAGTAATAACCAGAACCACAAGGCTTGAGCAAACACAAGATGGTGATTACCAGCGTGGCATCCTTCAGAAGGACATCACTGGCCATGGACACGAAGAGCAGATGTTTGCAGTGAAGGTGCCTAGTTTTCTATTCTGTGGCTCAGACAGCTGCTGTGGTTAGGCATCAGTGCATGCCAATGCCAGGCCTGATACAAAGAAATTCCATTATCTCTCATCTCCTGTCTTCTGTGACAGAGAGGAGGAAATCACCATACCATGCTGTCGTGAGGCTAGGAAGGAGGGAGCATTATGACTCAGAATGGAGGAGAAAAGAAAACTGTCACTCTTCAAATCCTCCTATAAGCGTGGTAGACAGCACACATGCTTATTTTAAGAGCAAGACCAGATCCCTTTTTTGCTGTTCAGCTGGCAACTAGAACTGCAGAACTATGTTGAGACCTGGCTTCTTCTTTCTTTTCATAAATTATTACTGAAACCTTTTACTTTTTCCCAAACTGTTATGTCTGTATACATTCCATGGATTAGAGTTAATGCTTTGAGTGAGAGCAAAGTGCAGCGGGGTGCATCCAAGGCAAACTCCGTTCATTGTATTTTAGTTTACACACCTCCTTATCTCAGCTGTCAAGAGGGAGGATTCTTCTCTACAGTAACTTACCCAGAGCAATAGAGATAGTGGTGGGAAAGGAGGGGTGGGAGGAGTGAGAAGAACAGAGAATGACTGTGAGGGAGTGAGCGTGCTTAACCCAGCCACTGAGTGACTCTTGTATCCAAGGACGAAGGTAGCAACGCATCCAAACGCCACTCTTCGCCCACGGACTGCTGTGAAGAAATGAGGTGGACACATAGGCACTCAGCAGCACTTGTATAGACTCAACAACCTGCCGGCCCCTCTTCTTAGGGCCCCTGGGGTTTGACTCGTCTGTCTGGAGTGCCAGGGCTGATGACTGAGCAGATCATGACCACAGCTAGAATGAACCACACAGAACGATAGACTCGTTTAACTTGAATGGGAGTTGCTTTTTTTTTTTTTTTTCTTTTTAAATCCAAACCTAAACAAAACAAAAGCATCTTTCTGTTACCTCACCAGTGTCATTGCAGCTAAACTGGCACACATTTATTGTATGTTTTTGGCAGAGGAGCAGATTGGAGAGGAGGTAGTAACAGGTGCTGCGTGCCAAGGTGGATTTGGAGGTGTGGAGGAGAGCTGAAGATCATGGGTAAATCAAACAGCAAACTCAAGCCAGAGGTGGTGGAGGAGTTGACAAGGAAAACCTACTGTGAGTACCTTCGTTTTTCCCTTTTTTTTCTTTTTTTTTTTGGCTTGTCATTAGAAAAGAAATCCTGCACAAACTCTTTTCAGCTTTTCAGCTTTTCAAAACATTCTGTCCATAGGTAAAATATCATACAGTATGTGATAGGAATACCTAACATTGATTCTGTTGCTGCTGTTTTGAAATCATATTTTCCACCCACTGTTTTCCATGCAGGCTTTACAGTAAATAGCCCTGCCTGTTGGGACATATTGGGATTCTAGACCAGTTTCTCATTAACAATAGAACAGAGCTACAACTAAATGTTAGCTGGGAATATGCTCCCTGTTTGATTTAAATTTGCATTTAAATGTTGTGTAGCAAATTGTAATTGGTTAAGGTCTGGTAAAAGTTGTAATCAGCATCTTTAAGGCACACTGTAGGGATTTATGAATATGGAGATGCTGAGTTTGCCATCAAGTTGGGGGTTTTAGTGATGAGGATGTTGTTTTATATGGATGCATGCTCCACATGTGTAAATATTTTATAAATGTATACACAGATAGATAGATTGATAAAATATAAAGACATTCTACATGAATTCATTCATAGCCTTAAATCTCAAAATTATAAATGGAACTCCTGCATAGAGACTCACAGAAATAGTGGGATCACAGGAGGAAATGGCCCAAACCTGAATCCTGTCCACAACTTTGCAAGAACATGGATTCTTGTTGTTTCTCGCAACTTATCAGGACATTGCAGATTGACAGCATTTGCTTTTCTCACCTTGCTAGAGCCTATAACAACTTATTTATTGACAATCTCCTACTGATTTTTTCCCCCACAGCTTTCAATCAAATTTGAGCAGAGTTCACAATTACAATTACCACAACAATGTCTGCTCGGAAGACACTATATTAATCATTTGTGTGTTATTTCTGGAGCACAGCGTTATTATTATTATTATTATTTGAGCAGTACAGTGTGCAGGTGTGGGTGGGAGTTGACATCCATTGGCTGCTTAATGACAGTGTTATTTGTGTGGTGAGTCTCTCCCCAGCAGAACCAAGGAAGGCAGGAAATTGCTGTGGAGGAAGATTGGGCTTCGTGCTGGGCTGGGCTGCTTGCTGCTGTCCTTTACTCACTCCCTCTCTCTTTTTCTTCCTCTGTCTCTCTCTCTCTCTCTTACCCTTTTACCCTGTCTCTCTCGCTTTATCCCCTAATTGCCCTCTTTGAGCAGGGAATGGAATAGTATAATTAGGATCTTATCTGGTTAGCATCGCTGAGAGGGGCACCAAGCTTTCTCTCCCAGCGTGATCATTCTCCCTTGTTCTGTTGTTGCTTGACTTGAGCCTCTTTCTCTTGCTCTCCCATGAGAAGCTTTGTCTGCCATTTTAGTCAACGCTTTCCTTTGGTTCTTGACAGATTGGGGACTTAGTAAATTTCTCTGGGCCTATGTGTCTTTTTGTTTCAGTGGTAGAAGAAGTAGGGTGTTTTTTTCCCTGCAGATAATGCTGTGTGTTGACAAGCAACCAGTGAAGCTAAGGCCAGATCTAAGGCCTGTTTAGTTCAAAATAATATCTGTTGATGTCTGTCTTCTGCTTTGTTGTAGGTTTGAAACTGCTTCATATGAAAATGATTATGGCCTTATATTTTCAATAAAACACTTTCATGGCCAAAGAGAACATTAAGCCATGCAAAGGCTCTGGCTAGCCAGTGTTTAGTGAAAACTGTGGCAAATGGTTGCAGCCTCACCTGTCCATTAAAGAGCTTAATTCAACCCAGAAATACTCTTCCTAATGACTATTCTGGCATCACATGGATAAAATAATAAAATGTCTGCAGGATGTAAGCAAGGCCCATATAATAACATGATGATTTTATAAGTTGTCAAATCCATGAAGAGGCTCACAGTGACAGACTGCAAGCTGGATGTGTTCTAGCAGACCCCGAAGGGCCAACCGGCTGAGTGGGCCCTGCACTCTCCTGCAATTGGCTGATTGCATTATTGCCCATTGCCTCTGACTGAGTTATGTAATAAAAAATTTATTAAATCATAGCCATGGTAAATTGCCTCAATTTTTGACTACATTGACCAATTTAATGGTAGCTTGGCTTGGCTGACAGTTGTGAGATTGACCCTGACATTTATTGCCCAGGAAAGAGTCACATGATGGGTTTCTTGGTGAAATGCTGAACAGAACAAATTGAGGTTGAGATATATGCAGGCGAAAGCTACTTGACCTGGCCTCCTTATTGATAGCCTCTGTATTATTCTGCTCCAGCACTACACCAGTGTCATTATGGAATGCTTTGTGTAAATCTGGTGTTCACAATAATCATGTTTACCCTTGTCATAAATGTATTTGTTGTCTTAAATGTATCTGACTGGGCTCCCACAATGTGAGGGTGTTGGATAATGGTGATTTGATTTGACCAAAAATGTGGCAAGTAGGTGTCTAAGCCTGGAACTCATTGTTTACTTTGATTCCTTGGTTGTACACGTTTGTATTAACCCTTACCATGAGTTGCTCAAGGTGAAACATTACAGTAAAGGAAATTATCGATTAACTAACTTGCTATTTGTTTTGTTTATAAGCCTCTTGCTTTGCCTCAGGCCCAACACAAGGGATAACAGACATCTATCATCAGACTTACAACAACAACATGAATTCAGAAAGTCTCAATCAAAACCTGGTTAAACTAATGCTATTGGTTTTCAGCCTTTGTTTTCATTAGTAACCTCAGGGGCCAACAGGCTTAAAATTGCTTAGGTTACATGAGAAAAAGTAAAGAGACAAGGGAAAGCCATGAGGAATTGGTTGATTAGATACTGGCAGATAATGGTGCTTGCGTGGGCATGATAACACGTCTCCCCTCCTAAACTCTTCTTTCTTAAATCTGTGGCTGACCTTCATTCACTCAGCCTTGTTTGTCTTTTTCTGTGGCTCCCTGGGGTTCACTCCCACTTGTCCTCTACTCTGCAGGCCAGGAGAAATTATTATTCATCTCCTCTGATAGTATGCTGGAATTGATAAATTGTACACTCAACTAAACATGGCTATTTTCCAATAATTGCATGTTGACACTGTTGAGTATTTTTGGTCAAGTCAGAAGATTTGTGGAAGAAGGGATTGGGCCAAGATGATTAATGATGCTACTACTTGGCTCCTGTGTTGTATCTAACAGCCAGCTACTCTTTTTCTAGGACAACCAAAGTTTTTCTCCGAACTAACGTAACTCTGTATCTCTCTTACAGTTACGGAGAAAGAGGTGCAGCAGTGGTAAGTGTGTCCATTAATTTTTAAAGAGAATTTTCCATTCCTGATGTGAGGCTAGTCATATATTTGCAATTGTTTCTTTACTGGTAGAACTCACAGGAATCAGGGGGTCTTATCTTGACCCACTTGCAGAAGCCACATTGATGTTCTTGAGTCCACCGATAGTGTATTTACAGTTAGTTTGATAGTCGATTTGAAGCCATCTCCCTCACGCTACCCTGAAGACAGACACGTTCTGAAAATAGAATGACTTTGAAGCCTTACTGAGACTGAGTGACTTTGGAGGCTGATAACACTGATATAAACATTTCCATGATGCATTCCTCAACAACCTTTTTGCTCTGTTTGCAAAAAGGGATGTGTGATAACAGAAGAATGGCGGGGGCACAAGGTTGTTTCACTCTCAGGCACTTAATGACTACATGGCTACAGAGCCTCCACAAGGTTGCAGATTAGTAATCCTCTCTGTCATATTCTCTACCTATTAGTCAGTGTGACCAGCACCAGCATCATCTTGCAGAGGTCTAACCTTTATCTGTTCCCAGCCTGTGCTCACAGTGTTGTAACATGTACTTACATATATCCAAATGAAACGTGTTTGTGAAACACTGACACCTTAGGCCAGGATGATTCTCAGTGCCGTGGTGAGAGTGATCATTACTGTTAAGGTGTGATTTTCTGAATGTCTTTCTGAAGGCACAGAGTGATAGACAATGCATCTTCATTACAGAGATGATTCAAGCATGAGCGTAGTCATTGCTTTTGTTTGCTGCATGCTGCTGTTGGACTATTGTTTCTTTGGAAATGAAAAACAAAGAATAGTGTATGTCAGAAGAGGGAGCACTGTAATAAAGTGATCACTCTTCCATGTTCACACTTCAGTTCTCCTGCTTTGGTTTTGCATTTCACAACCTAATTCTGCATGCATGAAAAGAACTCTGCCTCAAGAGCTCGTTGCTGTTCATGTCCCTTGTTAGGCAGTTTACGGGGGGGAAGGAGCCAGGGCACATTCACAGCCACACAGCAGCAGCAGAAGCAGCAGCATTAGATATCACTGGGCATTGGCAGGTCCAGAGCCCCCAAGCTGGCCTGTCTCTGAGGCTGCCTGAGCGCACTGGGGCGGAATACCCCCCACCCGGCTTAAACCTCCACCCTTCGGCTGTGCAGCCAGCTAGCTCACCATCACTCTCACTGTCTTTCACAGGAAAGTTTGCATGAGTCCTCACTTGAAGATCAGCAGCAATCAACATGGCTGAGTGTGAGGGATGAGAGGGAATTTTACCAGGGGAAATGCCAGATGGCGTGTAATTAGAGCACAGGCACAGACACAGAAGAATTAGCAGGGTTAGATAAATGCCTGTGTTGTGCATTAAATTTGTTCCCCTTTCTAATTCTCCTCAAAGGGAACATCATTAGTATGCCTGAGGCTCACCTGAAATCAATAACAAAATGCCATAGTGCAGTGATGTTCCTGCCAGCTAGGCAGGAGCAAGAGAAACATCCTGCACAACTCTTTAGATAGCCACCATGGTAGATGCCAAGGAGTAGGAGCCAGTGCCAGTAATAAATACTTTATCTTCATGCTGGCTCCCCAATGGGGTCTGATGCACATTGTCACGTCTGCTATGTCCCTGCAAGTATAGTGCATAGTTGCATTGTTACCCCGGCTCAAGTATAATCTGACCGTGTGTGTGTCTTAGCACCAGTGTCACCAAGTCAGACTTCTTGTACATGATGTGCTCTTAGCAAATTAAGGTGATTCTCACAATGACTGTTGAATAGCTGACACTGAGGTAACATGTATACTGCTAATATGTTAAATGTAGTAGTCAGCCTAAAATGGACGGCCTATGCCTCGTCAAGCAAATTCATGTGACTGTCTGAAGGGGGAAGATAACATTTCAGCAACAGTGATTCAGGCAAGCCTTTGATAAATCAAAACTCAAAGTGCATATTAAACATTTTTACAAGTCTGATCAATACAGAATTTTTGAGGTTAATATTTGAGAGTTTAACATAGAGGTCTCAGCTAACTTTTTTTTTTTTAACACATAATATAACCAAACTTTTTTGATAATCTCTTAAATTTGTTTTTTGAATATTTGTGACAAAGACATTTAGGGAGATTTTACAGCTGAAAACTGTCAAAAACATAACTCTGAGAGCAAACTTGAACAATGCTGAACTATAATGAACATCACACGAAGTACAGTAATGAATGATGTGGGTAATCTTTTACAATGGACATGAAATTGTTTTTCAACAGCTGTAATAGCCTATCACCAATAACTAGGTGAACTGCGACGACTTTACACATGATAGTCTGTTCACAGATCCTGCATATATGTGTGGAAAAAAAACCTATAAAAATCTTTTTGTGGCTCCAGAGGGAGCTGTGTGAAATCTGATAAATTGCCTCAAGCAATGTCAACTAAATCAGTGTCACTTGGGGCTGAAGACTGCAAGTTAGAAAATGAAAAAAAAATCTGGAGGCGTCGAGTTAGAAAGAAGCAATCTTTACCAGACCTCTTAAACCCACCGCTAATCTGTGCTTGGGGCAGGCGGTTTGAGGCTACATCAGCTGCTGTTAGGGTAATACACCCAAACCTCCAACAGAACTGTAAGATGTAAATTTAAATAATTGATGTTTTGTTTGTGATGGCAATTTTGTTTAGTTTTAACACAGCCATAAAATGTATTTGTCATCAAAGAAAGAGCAACAGAGAGAGACTCTTGCTTACTCTTTAGTTGCTCTTTCTCTTACTCACGGGGTAACATACACTTTGCCACACATGCCACAAGTCCTTAAGGTGCTCTTAAAATTGTAACAACTGGTTACAGAAAATAAACCTTCTTCAGACACTGTCAGGCAGGGAACAAAGGGGTGCTAAAGTGATCTAGTATTGCACTTTCATGAAGTTGAGTGACACATAAGACACAGATTTAAATAAGTGGTCGAAATCAAAGCAGCAGAGGCCAAGATATCCTTTTAACCTTTTAGCCTCCACATTTCCCATAATGCAACTCTAGTGCCTTTCATAAGACTGCTGCTGCCTAAATACCCACTTCTTTCAAACTCCACAACTCCAGTTTTTTCAGAGTTGGGAAAGCTTGTTCAGAGCCACAGAAGACATGTTTCCACAGTACTGAGTAGTTGTATAAAATACACACCAATCTCAGCCTCACAGGGTCTTCATCAGGGTGTCTGGACCACATTATTTATGTGGTCTGTGATGTTAATTCAACTATATGGATTCATCCCTTTGTCAGTGCAATGCAGGCTACTGAAAAGCTTTTTTTCATTAGTTATGTGAACTCCAATCAGAAACACCCTTCTGTACTGTAATTTCTGTTCTACATAAACTCTGATATCAATATATATGTAATAAGCATACATATGGGTATTAGAGTACCAATGTAATTTAGTTTGTTTGTCCATCCATCCATTAGCCATACCCCTTATCCTTTGAGGGTTGCAGGCAGCTGGAGGTGAGAGGCGGGTTGCACTCTGGACAGGTCACAGGGCAGACCTATAGAAACAAACAACTCTTCACACTCACATTCACACCTATGGGCAGTTTAGAGTCACCAGTAAAGCTAACCTGCATGTCTCCGGAGTGGGGAAGGAAGCCGGAGTACCCGGAGCAAACCCTGGCAGGCATTGGGAGAACATGCAGAAGGCCCAGGCCGGTCAGCAGGTTTGAACCCAGAACCTTCGGCGTTTGTTTGTGATAAACTAAAATTGGCTGATATTTGTATCTATGTAGCTGTCAGGTAAAAGTATTATTATTATGTGGCTGTTAAGATTGTTTAACTTTATCACAGGTTCTTGTTCACTCCGGCTGCACCTGTGACACCCAAAATAGGTCATTACTGCCCAAACAAATCAAACTCTGGGAATTTGTATTTATGCTCTATACCTAAAAATGTATACTGTATGCACTGTACACATATAAGCTATACAGTATGTATCATTCAGCCTTTTACATTGGTTTCAGAAATATAATATTCCATAGTAACACTTTAAAAATGACTAAAGAATTCAGGTGAAATGGGTCGGCTCTGGATTATGATATGCTTTGTGTGTTCTGTACTTTGAATACCAATTAGGTTGTATTCTGCATTATAGAGAGCTAGGCTTTCATTTTCCTGCATATCTCCAGATAATTCAAATGTGAGAATTACATGGTTCTGCTCTCTTCTCGCTTCTCTTCTCGCTGAACTTTTTCCCAGCTGCTCCTCAAAGCGTCTCTCCATCTCTTTGACTGTATGGAGCTAGCTTCATTATCTCCCAGGCAGATTAAAAGTAAAGAGTTTAAGAGGAGTGAGGAGCTAGAGAGTTAGTGGAAAAGATCTTTCCTGACCTTCATTCTTCATCAGAACACTCTCTGTGGCCTTAATTACAGCCTTGGCTTATTTTGAACAGCTTTAACTGAATCACAGACGAACATGCAGTGCTCCCTTGTGTGAACTTGCGTCATTTTTGCTGTTGATCAAGAGCAAAAAGCTTTTTGCGATGCTTTTTATAACTAGAGAGGGTTATTATTTCCTCCTTCTCTTACTTTTCTTCTAGCATTTATTTTTGTAAAGGCTAACACTCTCTTTCTTACTCCTTGACCTGTTATGGTCTAGTAAGACTGAGGCTGCTTTTTTCCTTTATGAAGACATACAAGGAAACTACCTACCTTTGAGTGACTGTGCTTGAAATTGCTCATGAAATGCTTCTATATTTAGGCTAATAGAGACGTTAAGTCGCTCTCTAGATATGTCATTTCCAGGGGCGAGAGGAAGCTCTCAGACTTATCTATCAGCTACGCATATTATCAAAAGAGGACTAGAGAGTAATTTGATTAGAGTTAACCACTCTGGGCTTGCTATTGGATTAAGGCGATCGTCTTATCTGCGAATGAGACAAATAGCTTTGCACTTTACCTTTTTTGATCTAGCACAGTCAACTGAGTCAGTAGTACCTGCTGTGCCTGAAATGGAGATGTGGCTTCAGTCTATCATCTTTGTCAAGTCTTGTCTTAATTATGCATTCTCATTATGCTATAAACCGTATTTTAACTCTTTAAATAATCTCAATATGTTCTTTATTTTTCAGGTACAAAGGCTTCATTAAAGATTGTCCAAGTGGGCAGCTTGATGCCGTCGGCTTCCAGAAGATATATAAGCAGTTCTTTCCTTTTGGAGATCCCACAAAGTTTGCCTCCTTTGTCTTCAATGTTTTTGATGAAAATAAGGTTTGTATTTAGATTTATATGTTCAGCTTCCTTTGTCACATCAAAATCACTGAGAAATAGTTTTGGACTGGTCTGTCCAGGGTTGCTGCAACATAAAGGAAGTTATGTTAACAGCGATAGTGTTTGAGGGGAGAGCTAATCTAAAGGGTCTTAATTCAGGTCAAGTCAGTTTGTGAGAACAGCAGCTCCTTCTTTCTGGCCAGCCAGAGGTTGCACAAAATAAAAAATCCTATTCATTTTGCTGCTGTTATTATTCCACGGCCCTTTTTACTTTTTATATGAGAACTGCAGGCTCTCAGTTTTGTGTACAGAAGGTTATTTATTCAAACCCCTTTTGAATGAAGGCTGTTTGTTTGGGAAAGTGAAAATTAAATTTCTAGCCCAAAGTTAATCAAAATATAGAGTAAGAAAGACGTTATTTACTGTTGGAAATTCCATGTCCAGTGTACTCTGCAAATTATTTTTTGTATCATGTGGAATGATTGTCCTATTTCTGTTCTTAATATTTTTATTCTTAACTTTAATGTTTGTACAAATAGAATTCTGATATATATTTTTTTCACGTATCGAAGGACCTTGAGAGCAAAATCCTACATGTTCCTTTTGAAATCAGCCTGAACATCGTCAGTCAATATTTCAACAGCACAAATGATTTTGTTTTCAAAAATAGGCACTTTGTAAAGAACTGAAGATGAGCTGTAGCATCAATAGTGAAATAGAAATGTAACCCTTAGTTGGAAATCTTTTTTTAAGGCTGTGTGCCAAAAAGTGTGTATATTTTTATTTATTTATTTATTATTATTATTTTATATTTTGAATAAAACTATTGTCCTTATTATGAGGAGTCATCCTCTCAGGATTTGACGATAGGACGATAAAGCAAGCTTTAACAATAAGCTGCAGTTGTCTGAAGTAATCCACCTCATTGCAGCTGCACAAGATTATTCAATTTGTGTTTACGGAGACAAACTGTGGATAAGCAGCTCCTCGGGTGTTGGGGAGCCCCTGAGGGTTTATTGACTTCAGTTAAGAAGCTTTGTGTCAGGAAGATCAGAAAACCCCTGTGTCTAATGTTAATCTACGACCTTCATTAGCGTTAGGCACCCCATAGTTAGAGAATGCATTGATCTTAACAGGTTTTATGACTTATGTAATCAGCAATGCATGACTTCAGCATTGTCTGGCTGGTCAGATGTCTGGTAGAGATAAACTTAGTCGACCCCAGGGCCATGAAAAGTGCTTGGCTTTTCTTGTGAAACAAGAGCTGTGTCTGGTGGTTACAGGTGGGCCTCTGCTGTAGCAGAATGTGATGCAATACAGTTGTAGCTCACGAGAATATGAATTGAGCAAAGCCTGAAAGCTCCACTACCAGCCAATTTATATGTATTGCTTGTTGTGTACAAGTTGTTGTTTTCACTTGGAATCTAAACAGCATTTCTTTTATGCAGCGCTGCAATTTGATTTCAGTCTTGTGCTGTTGCTTGAGGCTGGAGGTCATAACTTGATGAGCTGGTCTGAATCATTTCAGTTTGAGCCTTTCTGAGCTTTCGTTTTATATTTGATGACTATCCATGTTAGCAGATGTTTCTCTTCGCTGCACAAAGTGTGGCCTCACAGAAGAACACTGAAGGCCACAGCTTTGGGAGGTTAATTGGAAATTTTGAGCTTCTGTGGTAAGATTCAGTGCATGGGATTCTTGTAAATGCCACAGTGGATTATTTTCTACCTTGTTGGACAGATTTATCTGCCGAGCCCATTCATGATGTGGAATGATTTGAAAAATGTGAAAGAACTTTGTCCCAAAAATACAATGGTTGTATGTTTGTGTGCTGTAACTTTTAGACCATGAGCCAGTAGCATCCATCTTACTAATGACCAGAGGTGACATATTTCCGCCTCAGGAGAGAGCCAGGTGCAGGGCAAAAAATAGCAGCTGACTTGGAGCAAACGTCTGGCCCCGTTTTCAGCAGAATACAGCAAGGACATCATGAAAGAACAGCAAGGAGTTCATGAAAGTACAGCCACAGCAAGTGTGAAGTAAAATGCTCATCTTGTCTCTGGGCCATTTTCTCCCTCTCTTTCTCTCCCTGTTGTCGCTCTGTAGGACGGACGCATCGAGTTCTCTGAGTTCATCCAGGCCTTGTCAGTGACTTCTCGGGGGACTCTGGATGAGAAGCTGAGATGTAAGATGATGCACCCTCCTTCCCTATTTTTTGACATTCAAATAAAAGGATTTAGGATTGACTGCCATGAATTGCATATGAAAGAGGACTGGTTGGTTCCTAGAGAACAGCAAATAAAAATTGTGAACAAGATACAGCAGGAATCTTCAAGCTGGAGGTCAGGACCAAACCTCCTCTTGAAAACAGATCACCCTAGAAAAACTTAAACTTTAGCTGGAACTATAACTTTTCGATCTATAACAAAGTATGATCATTGTTTATATTCAGAACTACCACTGTAACCTTTGGAACTGGGAAGCCACCATGCAAGGCTGCTCGCTGTCTCTACTCAGATTTCACCATTTCCAAAGACATGAAACTCTATGTGCTCTGTAATCCATGAAAATAAACTCCATATTTAATAAAAATCTTTTGCTTTATATTTTGAGGTGACAGTAGCTTTCTGAAGCTACCAGAAATGGTTGTGAATCTCCACACTTGCTGCAGTTAAACCCATATAGTTTAATATCTTTCTCTGCACAGGGGCTTTTAAATTATATGACCTTGATAACGACGGCTACATTACCCGTGATGAGATGTTGAACATCGTAGATGCCATATACCAGATGGTGGTAAGTTTTATGAAACTTTAAAGGTTCAAACCTGTATTTCGTTTTAATTGTACAAAGTGTAATGATTTGATATCTTAGGGGAACACCGTGGAGCTGCCAGAGGAAGAAAACACGCCAGAAAAGCGAGTGGACCGTATTTTTGCGATGATGGACAAGGTAAGAAGTTTAATATTGAAGTAATATCAAAAGACTGAAGTCATAAATACAATGAAAATGCATTAGTTGCGGTACCATTTGAGGTTACATTCTATAGTTTAACATCAAACTTTGTCTGATGCTGATGCAAGTGCAGTAAAGATCCTTAGTTCACCATCAAGAGGACTGAATCTGCTTTTCTTGCCACCCTCAGGGCTTTGATATGGACACTGTTAAGTTTAGAGCTTTTAGTCTTAGCCATCACAGCGTCAATAACACTGCCCTCAGTCTATAAACATCATATATAGTGTCCTCCACCAGTAGCCCTTGGCGATTTGCCCACTCCCTCGGCCCCAAGACTCTCTCATCTTTAGTGCAAGATGAGACGTAGCCTGCATGGGCAAGTAACTGCCAAGATCAGCCCATTGGTCTGTTTTTTTGCAGCGCAGCAGCACTTAATGATTTGTATTAGCAGAGAGTGGCTACCATCCAAGTGCACTGAACCAAAGATAAGTCCAACAGCATAGACCGGGGGTAGCATGATGTAGCCTGAGTGCTTCTTTTGCCCCCTTCTGGTAACTGTGTGTTAAAGCAGGAACAGGCTTCAGCTTCATTTTGTCTCATGTTCTTCCCTCAGAATGCAGATGGGAAGCTGACTCTGCAGGAGTTTCAGGAGGGCTCAAAGGCAGACCCCTCTATTGTTCAGGCTTTGTCACTCTACGATGGACTTGTGTAGGAATGTAAGGTGAGTGGGGTATTAATGAGCTAGTTCCTGCATACTTCTCCGCTTGGGTGATTTTCAATCCCAGGTCATACTTCAGCTCAAAGATAACACTGTGTAATTCTTATTTCATCAGAGCAAAAAGTACAAGAAAGTAAATTCACTCCGTGGGCTGAAACCAAAAAGGAAGAAGCCACTTTCTGCTCTCAGTTTGTTCTTATGAATTATTCAAATGTCCCACTTGTTTGCTGGCAATCAAATAGTCTTGCAGTCCTGAGTGAAGAGCGAGACAGCCCTCACCACTCACTGCCTATTGTAATGCGTCAGCCACTGCCAATTGTTGATGACATCCTGCTCAGCGTTTTGTCAACTGTGAAGCGAGCTTGCAAAGACATATTTTAGTCATGCAGTAGCTCTGTTCAGCGGTTATCGTGCATGCTCTGAACACACCCAGGTTTCATGACACCACTTAGTGTCTTCTGTTCAAATGATAATCACTCTTACAGATGGATCCAACTCAGCATCCTCGCCAATCCAGCACCATCACACCTGTAACAGGAGGAAGCCACATTTAACTCGCTTACCCAGACGTGGACTGCAAACTTTTGTCGCACGGCCTCACGGCATCTGTGTCAAGTAGCTGTTCGTCTACATTTCCACCAAGGATCGTGAAGAAATATATCCTCTGACGTGAGGGAGAATTCAAACATGTCAGCAAAACCCTCAATCATTTATCTGTGCTTCTACAGCTATGTGGCACTGCGTACACCCTTGAGTGTTGTGGACTGTGTACGAGCATTTCCGCAAGCGCAGTGTTGTGGTTTCCCAACCGACAGGAAGTGAATTCCCTCGGAGATGTTAGTGTGCGTCTTGTTCACATACTGTAAACCAGGGAGAACTGCTCAGAGGAACTGTGCTGCTGCTTCATCACCACAAGGAGAGACTCTAAACCTGGGAAAATCTGGAAAGATGTATTACAAGGTGATAACGTGAACACAAGCATTAATTACAGTTTCAAAGCAGTATAGTGTATATTGTATAATGTAAATATAATGGTAATTTATTTTCTGCTTTGCTGCATTTATGGGAATTTCCTCATAAATATGGAATGAAGTTTTATTTTTTATCAAAGGTGTTGAAATGTATTGCACTGTATTTTTCATTATTATTGTGGGATTGTTTTTTTTCTCACATTCTGAAGTTTCCTTTTCCTGAGAGAACAGGGTTTCTATTTGAAGAAGAGTGTTGAAGAAGTGGGGGGGCTTTTCTATGGATTATTTTACTATGTTTGCGGTCTGTGCATCCTATTGTGTTTTCACTTCCCCGTTAGCAGGAGCGTCTGGTGTCTGCAGTGTTGCACAGCCACATCCTGAACGACATGACCAAGCAACACGCCGAATTCTCCCAGCTTACATCTGAATTGAGGCTCATTATTTCTTTTGAGAGCATCGCACCCCACCCTCAGCACACACAAAGCACTGGTCATTGAGAGACACAAACAGACATCAATTCTGGTTGTAAAGCTTTTGCGAGCTCTGTGGTTGCAATTGTCCACTTCGTATTTGTCCTGTGTGAGGCCAGAGCATGTGATGATGCCTTTTTTCATTCTTGGATTATTTTAGTTAGAGCATTAAGATGTTTTATCAGCTTCACTGATTTTATGCCTTATGCAAATGATAATTTACGAACCGATAAATGTCATTTACCTGTTGATTAACAGTATAAGAGCACAGAATAAAATGCATTTAAGTGGCTAACTTTTTTTTATTACTGTATTGTTAGTCTGGAATGGACAAAAAATGTGTTTAATTTTGTATTTAACTGTTTCTTTGATAATTTTATGAGCTGCTTTGTGAAATGACTCACAATTGCTCAAATGTCTTTGTAAAATGTTAAACTCCCCTAATGATAATCAATTCTTAAGAAAATTGTCCAAAATGGCACACTACCTATTGCATGGTATTTAAAATGTCAAACACTATGAATCCAATATCACACCTAGCCACTACACTAATACAGAGCAATTTCATGTCAAGCTTTAGTGCCTGTTATGCTTTGAGACACAGAATGGTACATGCCACTTTGCTCTGCAGTATAAGCCTGCGCTCTGTGGTTGTGTAATGAAAAGTGAACTACATAAAACTGTGATGTCTGGCTATTGATGGGTGGATTAATGAGGCTGGGTGGCTTTTGGTGTAGGAGCTGCTGGGTCTGTCTGCTCACTGGGCCTGCTCAGACCTGCTCTCTGTTTTCTTCTCATCAAGGACAGATGGAAGTGATATCAGGAGGAGGAGGAGGAGGAGGTCAGGAGGGTCCAGAGCTTTGGCCAGAGAGAGAGACTACTCTGTCCTTTTGGTACATTTTTTAATTCACTTCGTATTTTATAAAAGCTTCTAATGTAACATCTGCGACTAAGTGCAGCAAAAGACAAGAGGATCAAAATATTCTGGGTCTCAGACTCTTCCTTTGGAAGAAGACACTGAATTATTTACATTGATAAGATCTGGGCTGGCAGCCTCTGTGAGGTCTGATCTCCTCATACAAGATATGTCATAGCTAGACATCAAGTGCGTAAGAGTAATGTTTAAACATCAATAACACATTTCTGTTTACATCAGCAACAAAGTAAAAAGGGACAGTGACATTTCTGTGTGGCACGCCAAGCTATTCCACCCATTCATATGCCAAGGGGATATTTCTCAGGGTGGGCTACGTACAAAATTAGATTGGTGTCAGCTGAATATAAACGATGGCTATTTATAAAAACGAGGCTGTTACTGAGACAATGTTCTCGCCATGTCCAGAATACAGACTCCAGACTCCGCTGGTAATGTGCGTACGGCTGTTAAAGACCGAGTCTCTAGGGGCCCACCTCGATTGCGGGAAAAAACATCGGATTGAAGGGGGAATGTAGGATAGGGTTAAAGCCTGGAAGTCACAGTGGGGTCGAGTTACACACACACACACACACACACACACACACACACACACACACACACACACACACATACACACACACACACACAAAAAAAATCAGGTTGGGTCTCGGGAACCTTTTAATACCCATCTCCGCCCCCGTTTGAAGCGTCAGAGCACCAGCTCTCCAGGGGCTCTCCAGCACAGAGCCAGTCCACACGCTCCTCCAAACTTTACGCACGGATGTTCTCCTGTGGAAGTATTTTACACTGGATTTTGATGTGTTTCAGCTCAGGCGTATTGTTCCAAAATATCTTTTCTACCGACTGGAAGCAGTCCCAGACTTGTTTGAGTATCTTTGAAATCTGAACTTTTTGAAAACTTTCTTTTACTCTTAACATTTTTATGTGATCAGCCTCATTCTATCAGACAGATGCAGTAAATCTGAAAAAAAAAAAAAAATGACCGGTGTCTTATTTAAGTGCCTAGTCTTGGCGCTCTGTATCAGCACGCACAGGCTGTTGGCAGTCCCCCGGGTTGAGGAGGATGATGGATCTGGTGACAGCGCCTCGACCCTGGCCTTTGTGTTCGATGTTACCGGCTCCATGTACGACGATCTGAAACAGGTGATAGAGGGCGCATCGCGGATCCTGGAGAAGACCCTGAATCGGAGGACCAGACCCATCAAAAACTTTGTCCTGGTCCCCTTCCATGACCCAGGTACTGTTTTATTAAATGCACTTGAAAAAATCAGTTCATACCAAACACGTTTCCATTTTTGTGACAGTGGTAGAGTTGAATATTTTTTTTGTGAATTATTGCACATAATTACTATTTATTGTAGAAGTTAAAAAGCCAAAGTGGGCCCTGATTGTGTGGCCAAACCTCTTCCGAGACTACACACGTACTTGTTGCATCATTACAAACTCAATGGGACAATAGTGTAAACTGTTGCTATGTTTTCTGTAGCTGTCATTTACAAAGTTTTACTTGAAAAGATCACAGAGACACAACCGGTAGCACATGCTGTAACTCAGAGCAGCTTCATTAGAAGTCCATTTTCGTGGAGCAGCACCTTGAACTCAAACTGATACAAGAATATGTGAGCTTATAGACTGAGGAGTCAGCGGAACAGGTAAGGGTCCTCACCCCCTGCATCTGACCTCCAATATGAGAAAACTTCAGCTTGAAAATAAGAGTGCTCTAATGGGGGAGGGTGTTTGAGCACTGATGAGAAGCATATGCTGTCTGCTTGTGTGTAATTACCCCAATCACCCCCTCCCCACCCCCCCCCCCCCCCCCTCCCCCTCCCTCCTCCCCCCTCCCCCCCCCCCCACCCTACTCCTCCCTCTCCTGCATCCAAGCCTCCGGAAAACCCTCACAGACCCCAGTTTAGCCAGCCAGGGGGGATGGTGGGCTGCACTAACACCACACATTTTGTCTTGTGTTTAATGTGCCCTGCCCTTGGGGACCTTGTAAACTTCCAGGATTGCAAAGAGGCCGCGGTGGCTGACAAAGAGGCGTGACAGTGCTGTCAGTGTTTTACAGGCACTCATGAGAGGGAGACAAGGACTTGAAAGCCTCTGCTATTGGGAAACAGATTGAGAATGAGTTAGAAATGTCATCAGCTGACACAAGCTCTGTGTCATTAGTCTCACAAAGATACTTCAAAATGATATTTGACATTTAGAATAACAAGCACAGACAAAGAAATCACGATGCTCCACCCTACCTGATGAGAGTCTTCTCTGTAATAACTTATAATGAAAAGCTTGTGTTTATGGACACGCACTGTTCTTCCGCAAAAACGTTGCATTCTCTGAGTATTGGCTAATGTTTACTGTTTCATCGATTGGTTCCAGAAGATAAGCAAGTGTCTCTGACAGGCTCTTATCCATCGCGCTGGGATCGGCTGCTGCTCCTTGAGACCTGAGGGAGACACCCAACAGAAAATGCTGACTGCAGCTGCAAAACAAGAGATTAATCTGTCATCATTCAAATTCTGGCCGGAGTGCAGGGACTTGTGTAAAACAAAACCATAACATTGTAATTTTATCAGTGCGCCAGTCTAGCTTCTCTTGTGCTTTGTGGTGTGTGGAAATGACATTCACATCTTGCATAAAAGCTACAGGACATCACTCTGGTCCTGATAAATTAGGCTGGAGCTTATTACGGATTCTGATGCCATAGATACTTTTTTTTGTTCAGAGAGAGAACTGCTGAGAGGGAACAACTAAATCCTTTGTTCTGATATAGTTTATTTTGTAGAATTTGTAGAAAAATCCATACAGGTCGGACCTTATTCGGTTGTGATAACTATTTTTAGGTATACACAATGTAATAGTAACCAGCAACACCTCTTATTGAATTCATTTAATTTGATTTTGTTCACTTGACAAGTCTCTGTTTGATGATATACATTTGTAAACTGACAGATATCGGCCCTGTGTCCATCACCACTGATCCAAAGAAGTTCCAGCAGGATCTGCAAGAGCTATTTGTCCAGGTAGGAAGCAGGACACATGGGATAATAATTCTATATAAGACAGGAACTGTACAACAAGACTGTACTGTTCCACATTAATTCAGCTGTGTGGACTGCTGTTACTGAACTGCAGGAACTGTGGCCACAAGGCTCAATTACATGATAATGGTTAATGCTATAATGTAGTGTAGCAGTAGAGATGAATCATAAAGTCAGCAAGCTGACTCAGGAATGTTACACTGTGTTATCTGTAATAGCTGCTGGTGAGTGTACTGAATTGAACAAGGGTGCACTTCTTTACATATGTCAACTGTTGATTTTTAAAAGTTGTATTGTTTGATTTCTTTGTTCAAAAGTTACATAGTGTGGCTTTAATGAGTATTATGTTTTAAATATTTCCTTTACAATATGTCCTGAGTTATTCATAAAAGGGAAACTATATTTAGTCTATCAGTCTGAATGAAGTTTAAAATGAGATATTTAGAGTTCATTTCTTCGTGCAGTATTTGATCGTGTGATTCTGTCACCCAGGGTGGGGGCGACTGCCCTGAGATGAGTATAGGAGCCATCAAAAAAGCCTTGGAGGTCTCCCTGCCTGGATCCTTCATCTACGTCTTCACTGACGCCAGAGCCAAAGACTACCGCCTGAAAAGAGATGTTCTGCAGCTGGTGCAGCTCCGTCAATCTCAGGTACGGTCCTAGAATATATACAGGGTTGTGAGGACCTCACAGATCAGGGCTAGATGCCATATATCAGTGTTATTCATCACATATGATGGAGGTCCCTCCGTGAACATAAATTATCTAAAATGGTATAAAAACATGTCTGCAAGCATTTCATTCATCCTGTTTAACTCTTTCTTATCTGATGTTAGCAGAAAAATGGTTAGATCTAAAGCTTTTAAATACAAGGCCCCGGCCCACAGAGTGTGGAGTATCTTTGCATTTATCACGTGCTGTAGCTGAAGGAATACAATGGCATGCTGTGAAAGATCTACATTCCAATGAAGTTCCTCAACGTTAAGCTGAGCAGGGCAAAGTTTCTTCAAAGTCACTCAGTCTCAGCCTCTATGTGAAGCATGACAATGAGCATTAGCGTCACTTTGGAACCAACCGAAAGTGAGTCCGTGGAAAGCAAACACCAAACAGTAGTAATCCTCTTAACTCTCCTGCCCCCTTCGTTCCCAGGTGGTGTTTGTGTTGACCGGGGACTGCGGGGACCGCTCTCAGCCGGGCTACAGGGTCTATGAGGAGATCGCTGCCACCTCCTCCGGACAAATCTTTCACCTGGACAAGCAGCAGGTCAACGAGGTGAGAGCAGAGCAGAGTACACTGTAATGTATTTGAGA